TAAGTAGGCAAAACACAGATGAAGTACCAAAGGCACAAAAGAAGTGTATATTACTTGGAGTGGCACATTTAGGTGGTGGTGGTGGATATGGTGGTGGTAATGGCAGTGGTGGTAAAGGTGGTGGTAGAAGTAATGGGAAAAAAAAAAGGAAGGAGAATAATTCATTTAGTATCCATTCTCTTGGATGTTCTAATCCCTATCTTCTATATTTCGTGTGTTAATGTGAAATTATAATGGTACAGAAATATGACTAAAGAAAGGTAAAAAATCTCTTTCTACATATGAAAAGTCTTAAGGGGACACTTGGTTTTTGAAATATTTTAATCTCAAAAAAGTCGTTTGTCCTCAGATATTATACACTGTTGGAGGCAGTATTTATGTCAAAATGACATCTTTGAAGGTTGCATAAACAATGAGAATAACTGTTCAACATTATGAAGGGATAATGCAAGAAAAATAAGTAAGGGAACTTAAAAAAATTGAAACTAAAATATTATATTTATACCATTTCCAAAGCTGAAGTACATGGTTAGCTCTTTGAGGTGAGAATCTCAATTGTTCAAATCCACCTGTATAGCCACTAGCAGAGTGCCATGGAGATGGTCATAAGAAACGTTCTTTAAGGAAAAAAACGAACCAAGCACAGGACTTTAAGATCTATTGGAAATAACTTTAGAGATTATATATTACATAAATTGAACTGAGAACATATGATAGTTATCTCTTTTTAAAAGCATCTCACTAAGGAAAAACAAACTGTTGATACACGTAACTAAAACATACGTCTAAGGGTTAGTAAATAAGACTAGTTATCTAGTGTAGAAAACCAAATTTCACAAGGACCTAATTAGAAGTGAAAAGCAGACTAGCTGGAAATTTTAGGTGATAGAGGGTATGGAAGGAAGGGCTAACAGCTATTAAAAAACTGATTTTGTAGGATATGGTCATGTTAACAGTGTTTTTTTTTTTAAATAAAAAAAAAAAAAAAAAAAAAAAAAAAAACCAACAAAACCCAACAAGGAAGCCATTTCAACAAGTCCTGAACAGTTACTGTTAAATCTGTTTTGTGGGTTGGACAATTATTTTACATGCTGACCAAGCTGGACCAGAGCTTGCTGGGTGAAAAAATTAGTTCACAACTATTATTTAGATACTTTGAAACATATCAATGCCCAAACTAATAAAATATAAGGCATAAAGCAGAGTAAAGTTCAGTAGCAAGATCTGACCCACAGATAATAAAATCCTTACTTGAACAGCTTGAAAATAAATATTTACAATGAGTGTAGTTATAAAACTGGAAGATTTATTGCTTGATTTAACACAAGTATTTTATATAGAGATAAGAGAGTAGAGAAAAATGTAACCAGCTGAAGGTTAGGTTTAAAAAAAAAAAATGCCAGAATGAGCATTCACTCAATATCAACTTAAAGACTTAATAGTGAAGATTAACAAGAAAGAAGTGTTAAACTTGTCACTTATTTCCCATTAAAAAAAAAAAACAAAAAACAAACTGAGCATAGGAGGTTGGAATTTCACAGTATGTTTCTTTAAATGTTGGGGTTGGTTCAAGGTAAGATGCAAAGAGTTATTTTATTTAGTAGGAAGTGCTGTTTTTTAGCTGAATTTTTCATCCTGTTGCTGTGATGATTGAGTGACTGTCACTGGAAGACATCTGGGTTTTTGTATCAAGGCCAGACTTGGCTATTACATTAACAAGAAAATTAAAACTTACTGTTGCAGGAGCTGGGGTGGGAGGTGGGGCATAAGATGGTCTTTCTGTTTGAAAGAAAATAAATAACTTCTTGTAAACAACTGAGATATAATACTATGCAACAAAACTACCAATGGTCCTGTTTTGAAGAAAAAAAATGAGAGTATTTTGGAATTCCCACTTGCTAGGGCATTAGTCTCTTATTAACATAGATTGATAAATATAAAAATTGAAACTTACTTGACATTTTGGAAGATTAAGTTCTCAGTTCCTTAAGAATGAATCTGAGACACTAAATAAAAAAAAGAAAAAAAAAGGAAAAATAAAAAGAGAATCAAAACTCGGCAAGCATAAGAGAATGTTTCCCTAAAGAATAGGGTAGTTTAATAGGTATTTCTGAGTGAAAATTACTTTACCTTATCTCCTAGTAATCAAGCTTTTGCATATTTTACTAGTTCTTGTAGGTCATTTGGCTAATCAGAATTTAAAGGGCTAAAACAAATTACTGGGGATATTTAGAGTGATATTTGAAATGTATTTTTCTTATGATACTGAGTCATCTCTTGTATGGAAAACATTTTGCTGATGCCATGTAAACATTTAATCAGACTGATAAAAAGATAATGACAATAGAATGTGATGTATTATCAGAGTCCACCCCAACAAGGCCTACCAGATACTGACAGCTCTACCTTGCTTTCGGGATGACAATTTCTATTAAAATAGGGCAGCATTTCTTTCCTGCAGGCAGTGCAAAAGGTCTTGGTATGATAATTAGTTTTACATTCTCTTACAGCAGTCAATAACTTTGCAAGGGCTGGAAGTAAATCTTGAGAGTCTACCCGAAAAACTCTTATTCATCCTTCACAGCCCACTTCGAAATTTCCTCAATGGAACTTTCTTGATAAATTACCTGGGCAGAATTAATTGCTCCCTCATCTGAATTCCTATCTAGTTTACATAGATCTATGATATTATATGTTTATTATAACTTTTTTTAAAACTTGTCAATATGGCTAGATTGTGTGCTGCTTAGAAACAGGGACCATCTAATTTATTACTGTTTTCCCAATACCTAGCTCAATTCTTATTAAGTTTTGTCCTACTATTACCAGCTCACAAAGGGAGCAGACACATGCGAGCTTGTGCACATACATCACAAATAGCGGGGTACAAAGACACAAAAACTCATTTTTAGAAAGAAGGCAAATAGACTTCTATGACTACTAGAGTACTTTCACCCAATATTATGTGAATCAAACATAATTTTTTGCTTCTATTTTGCACTTTGAGGAAACTCTCTGGAGCACAGAGTTCTGGTGTGTGAAGAAACACCTTGTCAATGGTCCAATTTGGGTCTCTCCCTTTTTCCTTAAAGAACAGGCAGAGAAACCTATGAGTCTGGTGCAGATTTCCTTCCTGCTCACATTAAGGAAGCTGTCAACATCCAGTAGGCCTTACTGTGGAGAGCCCTGACAAAAACTGACACAAGTTCCTTGCATTTTACACTTTATGGTTAATAATTCAAAATTACTGCTCTCTCCTTTGTTAGAAATATAAACTCTTAAAAGTGTGTTTATACACTTTGTCTGACATTGGATCCATCCCTGGTGCCTGGCATAGATACTCGATAAGCACTTGTTGAATAAACACCTTAAATAGGACAGGATATTACACTATCTCGCTTAACAGTGCAACTACCCACGGGATATATACTGTACTATCCCCATTTTCCAGATGGAAAACAGGAGTCTCGGAGAGCTTAAGCAACTTGCCTAAAGCCACACACCCAGAGCTGGGTTTCAAACCCAGGCCAAACTGTTTCAGAGCTTCCATTTTTCACTCCACCCCACACGGGGAGTCCTCAGGTCGCGGCCTGGACCAAAGGGAAACCACCTTCCCGGGGGTGAGGCCCACAGGCTTGCCTTGCCCCGAGGGCTTCCTCTGACGTCGTCCTTTAAGTTTGTCGTAGAAGATGCACTTTACTAGCAGCTCCCCCAAGTGGGGTGTGCACAGGTGCTCTGACCAACTTCGGGGCGTGAGCGGAAGGGGCAAACCTCGCTCCGAGGGGGGCTCCAGATGGGACTCCCTCCCAACCTGCGCTCCACTAGGCCTCAGGGAGGCCGCCGCCGGCTCCTAGGTCGGGCCCCACAGCCAGGCCTGAACCCAGCAACCCCTGGGAACTCGGGGTCCCGCCAGGCGGGGACACCACGACCTGCCACCCTGCCGACCCGGTCGGGCCCCCCGGAGACACTCACCGGCGGGCTCCAAACGCGCCCGCAGCTCCGGCTCCGCTTCCCTTTGTCCCGCGCACGCCCCGCCCCTCGCGTCCGGAGCTTCCGCAGCCGCACTTTCCACACTCTCGCCGGTGTCTCCGCGGGCCGCGCCCGCCTCTCTGTAGAAGAATAAACCTTCTAGTGAGGACGCGGTGATGCTCAGTACAGTCAGGGATTTTTTCAGGCCCCGTAGATTCCTCAAAATTCCCCGAATTCGGACACTTTCCCAGCCGGGCGCCGATTCGTCACGGCGAAGAGGGCGGAGGTGGTCCGACCGCGGGATAGGCCCAGATTTCGCGGCCGGGATGAGCAAGCGCGACCGCGGCGCCGGGGGCCGCGGCGGGAGGTGCCGCGCCGTGGCGGGGCCGGGAGACGGCGGGAGTCACTCCGGGGGGAGGCCGCGGAGCCGCTGTGGCCGAGCGGGCCGCGCGCTCCTCGGCCCGGGCTCCGGCTGCGTCCGTCCCCGCGCCCGGATCGGTTTTCTTTCCGCTGTCTGGGAGCAGGACGTGCTTTAGCGAGCCCGGGGTGGAGGCGTGGAGGACTCGGCGGCGTTGGCGTCTTCACCCGCGCCCGCAGGGCTTCGTGCCTGGGGTAGCCTTGGCGAAAAGCAACACGGAGCTTTGCAGTGTTCCCAAGCGCTTTTAGGGTGTAATCGCCGCGGGATTCTGAGCCAAGGCTCAGAGACTCAACCCCCTTGCAGCAGGTTGTGTGCCTTGGCAGCGCCCGGGGTGCTGTGGCTCATTCGGTTCCCGCCGCAGGGAACGACAGTCCCCACTTTAAGACTTTCCAGACCCAGCTCAAGTGTCTCTTTGCGATAACCTCTTGGAACTTCCCCCCTGATGATCCTCTGTACTCGCATGACTCTCCGATAGAAACCGTGGTGGTTCGCTTCGTACTGAACTTTGTCATCTCCAGGCTTTGTGAAAGCTTTGAAAGCAAAGGTTCAGCCATCTGCATTGGTCAGCTTCGTATAGCCAATGCCTACTAAGGGCTTAACCCATTATGAGATGTTCCATAAATGTGTATTGAGGCAGCTTTCTGGTCTGCCCGAGGGCTTGTTCCACTAAATCACGAGTATGTTGGTTTAGCATATGGAGTGAGTAGCCCCTTCCTTGGATGTATAAACATCTGGCTGACATTGTGGGCCACTGTGGAGGGAGAAGAAACAGACGGGATCCCTAACCTGTAATTACTTGAAAACAGTGTTGACATTTAGGGGGACTGGTTGAATTCTTGGGCTGCTCGTAGTCCCCATCCTGAGTGTGACAGCAGGGACTGGGGCATCTCTAGAAGTCTGCAAAACTGGGGACAAGTGGTACTCTGTCCAGTTCTTCTGCCTCCAATATTTTTATAGTCATTAATAGAGATTAATGAAATTGAAGAGCATGTTGAAAGGAAAGACTAAAGGAGAGGTCATCAAAGGATAACAGGCAACCTGAGTGCTGCTTGAGACAATGTACATAAAATTGCTTTTTAAATATAAAAGCATCAGAGACGTGTAAAGGATTAATGCAACGTACATGAAGGCCTCAGCAGGGATCCCGGTAACTTCTTTCTTTGCCTTTGCCCAGCAACTCCAACCCGGCTTCTTCTGGGGCCTTTGGGGTTATGGTGGGCAGATTGGGCAAATGCAGTGTTGGGGAGATGCTCCTTTGTGAAATCTCAGTGTTCCTCTGAAGAAAAGGTGCAGGTACTGGATATTAGGAACAAAGCACACTGTAGTGTAAAAGGGGTGACACAAAAAGGAGGAAAATGGAAAGGAGGGTATCTAACTGGAGCAGTGACATTGTCTGATACACTTTCTCACCTGATTTTTACTCAAATGTTATCTTCTTAGTAGGTCTTTCCTGATCTATTTAAAATTGCAATTCATCCCCCAACCCCCACTCTCTATTCATGGCTCTTGCTTTGTTTTTTTCTATAGCATTTATCACCAGCTAACATACTATACTTTTTATGTGTTTAATTTTTTTGTTGTCTTTTTCTTCCCATCAGAATGAAAGCTCCTTGAAGTTGGGGACTTTGGACATCTTGAACAGTGCATGGTACATTTGGGTGCTCAATATTTGTGGATTAAATAAATGAGTGACTATTTCATTTTATTCCTTTGGTTCTTTCTATACTCCTAAAGATTTGAGGAATTAAGAAAGGAAGGATATAGGCAAAAGATAATAGAAAAAAAAAGTCTTCCCTTGTCCTGAAGAAATTAAAATTGAAGAGTGAAATATCCAGCAAGATGGACTCAACTTACATTGAGTTTTTTCCCCTACCAAATCAAACATCAGAACATATGATCTTGCATGCATAAGGATATTTATGGAAGCTACAGGACAGACGTTTGGAATTGTAATTATTCCTGGAAACTATGGAGTGCAGCATTAATATGACTATTTAAACTATATGTAACTATAAAGGTTGTTGGGAGCTCTCACATGCGCCTAGTAGTTAACCTCAGACAGAGTCTTAGGCTCAAGTAATTTAGTTTTCTTTCTGGCAGCAAGATCCAGGAACTTGGCCTTCTTTCCTCTCTGATAACACTCATAGTTTCTTGGGGGTTCTTCCTCCAAGACAGGGAAGTCCAAACTAGTAAGTGATAAAGTGGGACTCAAGCCCAGATCTCTTTGATTTCTTTCCATAGTGCTGTGAGAAGAAGCTGGTGAGGGAGACAGAATTCAAGAAGTGTGACTGGGAGGGAAGAAGAAAAAAGGAGAAAATCGGAGAGAAAAGGAAAAACTTGTAGCCCTTGGATACCTAGTAGTCCTTGAATAGGCTCTAGGAGGTCTATGAACCCTTTAAAATTGTACACAGTTTTTATGTACTTTTTCCTAGGTAGAGGGAAAAAGGTTTTCCCTTTAACAAATTTTCACAAGGTCTGTGACTCAAGAAAGATTTTAAACCAACCACTGAGCCGAGTTTGTAACAAGTTCTGATGAAGCTTTTAAAATGGATTTTCTCTTCTGAAAATAGGAAAAGGGAGAACAGAGATATAGCTGAGCCAAATAGCTCATAAAAGTCTGATTATACACAGAATGGTGCAACCGTCTACTTTTTTTTGGCTATTTCTATAAAAGCAGAAGGACGTTCAGGTATTCAGTTTCTATCACTAGAAATAGTTGTGAAATACTGAAGCCTAAAAGATTTCCAGGACAGAGTGATTCACAATGTTTTATAGAACTTAACAAAGTTGGTTTGCTTCTGCAACCCTTTGTGTCACCCTGAAAATAAACTTGAGGATTTGGAACATGAGTTTTGACACTTAGTATGGAAAAGAATGAACATGTTAGAAAACAGACTGGTCCTGGAGAATGTGGGGTAGGGTCTATTAGCCATTGACAATATGGCCAGGTCTTAGCCAGGGTTGGCAAACTATTGCTACAGGTCAAATCTGGGCTGCCTCCTGTTTTTGTAAAGTTTTATTTGTACACAGCTGTATTCATTTATTTATATATGGACTATGGTTGCTTGAGGCTACAAGGGCAGAGTTGCATATTTGCTACAGGGATCCTATGGCCTGAAAAGTTCAAAATATTTTCTATCTAGGCTTTTATAGAAAAAGTTTGCCAACCCTGGTCTAGAGTCTGTGTGTAGGAAACTTGGAAAGGCTTGTACTGATTTTTTATATAGACCTTATTTCAGAACCTTTGTAGTATGTCTGTTAATATTGCAAACTTGTAAACATAGAAACAAATTCTGCCCTGTGAACAAATTTTCCTTTGATTTCATGTTTTGAGATTTGAGTAATGTGTATATGCATATTACTTATCTAAAGTTTAATTTTGGCTCATATATCATAATAAATTTCCTTTTGAAACTTACAAATTAATTTAACCATTTAAAAACTTAAGTCTTTTTTAATTTTTAAAAAATGGTATTAAGAAAACAAACAAATTGGAGGGTAAATTGTGAAACTTGACAATATAAAGATCTCTCACAAATGAATAAGAAAAATACCTGTGTGCAGTATTAGTTGTATATTACCATGTAACAAATTATCCCAAAACTTATTGGCTTAAAATAAAAATAATTTATTATCTTTAGGCAACATTTTTGTACTTTAAAAACTATCATGGTAGTTCAAGCTGGGTACCTCACTGGGAAAGAATAATTTTTCTGGCAGCAATTAAGAATTAAAAGTATTATCTTTACCGGTTGCATTTTGAACTATTATTTAATCATTGTCAGCTATAAGTTTTCTCACAAATTCTTCACTCCCAAAGACAGTCTTCACCCAAATAGTTCTGTGTATTTGAGCAGTGCTTTATCAAATATTTCAAACAGCTGTGAGGTAGGGAAGGTAGGAATTACTAGCAAGCATCACCTTTTCCTTTATTTTCATGTGTGAAAATAGAGGCTTAGGGAATTTAAAGTGATTCTCCTGGTTACATTGTTAGTGACAGAGTCAGGGCTAGGATCCTACAATTGTTAGTAACTGCAATTATTCTCTATTTTTGTTTTTTCTTATGGAAGCATGCATTTGAAATATTCCAGAGAGACTGAAGAATATTAATTTTTATTCTATAAAATGAGGATAATATTATTTATTTTGTAAGACTGCTGTAAGGATAAGGGAATTATGTATGAGTCTGCTAAGTACTGTGCCTGGAGCTGGGTAAGCATTTTGCAAATGGTGGCTAACATTATTATACCTTCTTCAGAATTATGGGATTATGTAATTATTTTGATTTTTTATTAGAATAAAATATTAATATACCATTTTTAATTTTTCTTGTGTAAAATAAGTTAAAAACCGTAATATGTCTGATGTGATTGCAGTTTTCTTTATTCTCCAAATAAGCTAACTGTATTGGAGCAATTAATTCTTTGTTTTGCTTAACTATGCAGAGAGATATTTGAACTAAAAGAATGGTGTACCAAACTCAAATACAACACAGCATTAGAGTTTATGTTTCAATTTTTTTTTATTGTAATGGTATCATTTACTTTGGTAAATTCATATCCCAATTTAAAATGTCCCAAAGCAAATAAAACTTTTGTTATAAATTCAAGTACAGTACTGTATTTTAAAACATACATGTTACACACACAATAGCTGCATAGTGGAATTACTATAACAAGCAGTTACATTCATGATGCCCAGTACTGAGTTTTGAACACTGCAATAGATTACACTGGATATATTGCTTTATTATGATCACTGTTGCTTAGTACAGTAACTTTAGTACAATAGCGTATATGATTGCATTTTTAAAGCTTTAATAAAGTTAGTAGCGTTTAATATTGAAAGAAACATTTTTATACATAGGATGTATTTTAGGTCAGATGCTTATGCAAGAATAAGCATGTAACATGCTATTGTATCCTTGACAAAACAAAATCATCACTTTTCACTAAATAGAATAAGCCAGGCTAAAAAAAATCTGAAGTCATTGAAAGAAAATTAAAAATTTTATATACCTGTGTTATGTTAAAGATTAACATAATTTTTCTGATATATATATATGTATAGAGAGAGCGAGAGAGAGAGAGAGAGAGAGAGATAGGGACTGATTTTTAAAGGCTGTGCTAAAATGCTAACATAGCTGTAGCCCTTAGATAATACTTCAGCTGGAAAAAAGTATGGTGAGTGGTACTCAACCATTTTTTTCTGCTTAGAAAAAATTAATAGCCTATAAATTTCTAATGTTTTAAAACAGGTATTTATTATTTAAGGTCTTAAAATAAATAAACCTGTATTAAACAGATTAGGTTATTTTAAAAACTTTGTAACAGTATTCACTTATTCACAAATGTATTTTCTATCCACAGTTATTACAGTTTGAACAATTTAAAAACAAATCCTGCAAATACTCTTAGCATAGATAACAATATTGTTATCTTAGTTTACATAAATGATTGCAAGAAATATATATAATACTTCATATAGTATCTAAGGCTTGTAGCAAACACTCTAATCACATTTAACTTTACAGTTGGAAAAATTGGGATGGTGAGAGATTGGTAACTGTTCTAGTAACTACAGTAACTACCTTTTCAATTTGCTTTTCATGTTTTCTTTGTGCAGATGGTCTTCCAATTTTTTTGGGGGGGGAGGGTGGGAGAAATACAACCTTTAAAGTTCTTCAAATAAAGTAACTTCTAGAAATCAGATACTGATTACAAAAAACTTTCAGATGTAGATTAACTTGATTTCATTTAATCATCAAATTAGCTTTGGGGTGTGTTCTATAGTTTGCTTAGAATTGCTCATGGAAAAAAAAAACCTCTTATTTTTGTAAGTGTACAAATGATTGTCTCAAAAGGAAAAATCCTAGTTAAGTGATTAGTGAGTCCTTCTTTAAAAGTTTGTTTATAATTGCTTTCTTTTTTAAGTAGAACAAACTTTTTAGGTTTAACCAGTCATGAAATAATGATGAGTAACTCAGTGCGACATTTAATATAATTCAATCATATTCAAACAAACTATTCTTTTTTTCTTATTTAGTCATTGAGCAAAATTACAAAGACTTTAAGCCAGCTTAATGTTTATAGTGCCTGATAAAATTTCAAAGGAAAAAGATGACTTTTTGGAGAATGAATAAAATAGAAACCATACTGAATTTCTGATTTTATTTTAAAGCTTCCCCTCTCCAAAAATATTTATCCATAATTAGATTCAGAGAAACTTTTGTCCCTTACTGATTTTTTTTTCTTAAGAAAATCACATATTGATCATAACATTTTCCATACGTACTTAGTAACTTACATTTTGAGACAGAAGGGGGTCAGTATGGCCCACCTTGGTCCATCCTATTACCATTTTCAAAGCAAGTCAAATGCTATCTTTGGATTAATTAGCTGCTGGTGGAGGTTTGATAGAGGGGATACTGCATGACCTTCTCATGATGAGCCTGACTTCTATATCTGGTAGATTATCCTGTTTAGTCTGTAAACACCCTTCATCGGTAGCTGCTAAATGAAGATCAAACCGAAGAGAAACAGATTTTTTCCTTAATCGAGGGTTATCTTTAAAGAAGGAACCTTCCCATTCTTTAATAACTTCATCCACTTTCTCTGTCCTGAAATGATAAAGTAAACCTTTCTATATGAAGATGTATGGGTATATTAAAAATGTATAATATGTATTCCATTTCTATGAAAAACAAATCAAGAAATTTGTATAATTTATAGTTTGTGGAATTTATAATTTATGTACTTAAAAATCATATGAATATAATTTCTAAGGCATTCTATGGGATTTCTTCAGAATTTTCAAGTTTTGGTTGTATTTTTAGAAAAAAAGGTGAATTAAGGACTGAGTACTCTTTCATCTGAATGTATATATATATATATATGGGGGTACTTCAAAAAGTTCATGGAAAGATTCATATTATCTTTTAATTCTTTTTTTCCCCTGAATTTTCTGAAGTATTCGTGTGTGTGTGTATATAATATAAAATATATAACATAAATAAATATATTTATTTCAGATTAAAAATCACAGTGTATGAAAACTATGTTTGGAAACATTCAAAGAAAGAAGAGTAATTATTGGGATTACTCAATTGATCTTAATTTCTTTACAGATGTTTATTACTATTTTTCAGTCAAAGTTGTCTTACTTACTGAATAGTGCCATGAGCTTCGGTGCTCTCCTTCACGATATTTCCATTTAACACTGCCTGTTTGGTCACTGTTTCCACTTTTTCATTCTCATACTTTTGTGGGGCTTTTGTTGAAAAAGATATTTCATTTATAATTGCTGTGAAAATGGTATTTATGATATATGAAATTACAATGCTGAAGTACTGTTCATGGTCAAATTGTATGTCAAACTTTTATTCAAATACTGCTTGTTTTTTGGTACTTTAGAGTATCTAATTTTTTTTATAATACCTGTAAATGGCACTTCACTTTTCAAGTTAGTTTGTTTATAACAGAAACTCACCTGAAGGTAAAACAAAACCAACTCTACTTGTGGTAGGTTTTTGGTCTTTTTTCCCACCTTGGATACAACCATAATACCTGAAATTAGAAAGAATTGTATTATAGGAGCAACACTGAATTAGCAAATAAATGAAACAAATGGAGATGGATAAACTGTGTATTCATACAACAGAAATATTACTTAGCAGTGAAAACAAATGAACTAAAGCTACACTGTATCTTTATAAATGAATCTCCCAAGCATTAGATTGAGTGAAAAAAGAATGTAAGTTGCAGCTAATTTTAGGAAGGTTAAAATAATATGCAAAAGAATTTATACGTTATTTAGGGATACATACATATTACCATAAAGAAATGTATGAGATTAATATGCATCAAATTCAGGACCCAGTTTAGGTGGAGGGAGGAGAATGAGGTTGGGGGATGTGGTTTAGGTGTCCAGGGAACTTTAACAACATTGCAAACACTTTACCTCTTAAACTGAGGAAAGTGGGTATATGGGTGTTCATTACATTTTTCTTGATATTTTCTTGTATGTCTTAAATATAGCATAATAAAATTTTAAAAAATTGTATTACAGGAATATTAAAGCCCAATTTATTAACATCTTAAATGATTAGGAATTAAATAAAATTCACAACCATTTATTTTATTTATATATAGTTACATATATACATACATAAATATATATTTACCTAGCACTTACAATGTGGCAGGTATTGTTTTAAGCACTTCACAAACATTAACTCACTTAATCCTCACAGCAATCCTATGAGATAGGTAATATTATTATTCCCATTTTACGTATGAGAAAACTGAGGCACAGAGAGGCTCCTAACTTGCCCAATCACTCAGCTAGTTAAGTTGTATATTTTGAATTCAATTTTTTTTTTTGTCTTTTGTCTTTTTCCGTGTCCGGCAACGGATCGCAACCCTCAGTGTTGCCCCCGTACCGGACCGGGGACCGGCAACGGGATCGCAACCCTCGGTGTTGCTCCCGCGCCTCGCTCAGCCAGTGAGTGGGAACCGGTCTGTATGTGGGATCCGAACCCTCGGGCGGGAGCGCCGCTGCGCTTCCCAAGTGGCGCACTATCCAGTGCGCCACCGGGCCGGCCCATCAATTTGTTTTTTAAAGATTTAGTAAATGTCAAGATTTATTATAGACCGAAGTTATTTCATCTAGTTTTGTAGAGGACTCAGAATTCTGACACCAGCCAACCAAAAGATTTCTTTTTATGGGAATATGGAAAATTGGAGGTTGTGCCATGCTCAAAGCTATATGACCTTATAAGTGATTGTGGATTATGATATTGTGTAAATTAATAAGAATTTCTCTTTTGATACTTTTTCTTATCAGGACATCTGGAAGTTTTTTACATCATGACTCAGAACCATATTGCTTTTCATGGTTGTAATATAATCACATTATTATTATTATTATTTTGGTGTTGGATGTGTGGTGAGGGGTGGGCTCCTGGGCGGGGGGGATTGTGGTGATCGTATGTGAAATTTTCAGGCTTTCTTTGTGATGTTCCATAGAAGGCACAGATTAATCCTAAAAGAGATGAATGGCAAGGAAAGTGGGAAAGTTAAGAAAGGTCATTTTCGTAGTGATTGAGAATTGTTTACATTTTGTTTTTAGCTGACTTTGTAACAGCCCTGTTTGACTCTTTGGTTTCTAATTTTAGAAGGCTGGAAACTGTTTTTCCACATATTCTTTGCAGTACTTAGTAATTCCCTTTTATTGGACAAGCTCTGTGAGTATGCCATGGTGGTGCTGGCTTTTTTAGATTTAATTTCTCTGACTACACCAATAATGACACAAGTGGCTCTGCATTTCTGGCCCCTTGTTATTAATCATATGGAATTAGATACCTGAGTTCTTCCTTTTCTAGGAGGCGGCGATATGTTGCTATTTCTTGTTCTAGCCTCATCTTCGTGTTGAGAAGCATCTCATGCTCCTGAAGCTGCTTCTCGATGCCGCGCCTCACCTCCTGTAACTCTTTTTCTAGTCCTTCAATCACAGCCTCTAGGTCTTGCAGCTGCATCTGGTAATGCTGCTCACTGGCTTGTAGGGAGTTTTCAAGGCCTCTTTCCTGTTTTATAGAGATCCTCATCAGTAAAACAGAGATACAAAATGTATCTCTGAAATCTGATTTGCAATGTTTTCATTCTATTGTGTTCTTTCTTAAAAAAAGGTTGCAATAATTGTATCTCACTTATGCAAGAGGTGTTTCCTTACAGCTTTGTGTGTGATGCAAATTAAAAAAAATTCATATTTTATATGCATAATTAGAGAGTTTACTGTACAAGTATTTCAAAGGAATCTTGTGATAATTTCTATGACAAAAACAATCATCTGTAGTGTAATTATTATCACTCTGAGTTATTTGATTTTTAAAATATTAAATAGTATATTGAATATCAATGCCAGAGCAGACTGCTCGTATAGGCATTTCAGGAAAGTGTGTAAATATTTTTCTATTGGAAGTCTCAATGGAATGGACAAAAGACTTCCCACTGTCTTTAAGACTTGGGATAATAACAAATGTTCTATTCTCCAGCTTTAACAATTGGAGAACCCCAGGGCGATAAGCTAGTATTACTTTATTTTTGTAGGTGTGAACCAAACCTGGACTGAATTGATAACAGTGACTGCCATGATGCAAGGAGGCTGGGGTGGGTAAGTGAACTAGAATTAGGGATAGAATTCAGTGGCCTTGATTTTCAGTTTTTCGTATGAAGTAACGGACATTATTCCCTTCCCTCTGTTGATCGCATAACACCTGGGGATTCAGTGGGCAGTTACTTTTGAGGTCATTCTCACCACAGCATGGAGAGATTCAATTTCCACTTGCAGGTGGTGCCACTGGCGTCGGGCTTCCTTGAGTTCTGCTTGAGCTGCCTTTAAAGCCTCTTCGTCTTTGTCCATTTTTTTGCTTATATCTTCCTCTAGCTATAAGAAAGCCAACAACCACAAACAAAAACAAAGAGTGCTCTTGAAAACCAGATGTTTAAAAGCAATTAGAGAAAAATTATACAGGAATCAAAACTTTTTTTGATTAAATTACAAAATGTGTGTCCTAAAGCTTAGTTACTAATTAAATAAGTGAGCAAGTCAATTGCATTCTCAGCCTCAGTTTTCTCTGATGTAAAATGATTCCAAAAGTCCTTTCAACTATGAAAATCTATGAAATATGGAAAAATACATTCATTTTAATGAAAATAAACAATTTTCAGGACCTAAAGTTTGTGACCTGTGATTCTTAGCTTTTCATCATTTATGGATCATTAAGAAAGAAGGGTTGAAAATTAACTAGTTTCCCCTCATGTTTTCTTTTAGTCCGCTTTATAGAAGCAAATGAACAGCTTTATATCCCAAAGTGCTCAATTCTAGGACTGGGTGTATGGACAGGGAGTAAATACTGCTGGAAAGTATATTACTAGTAATTTTGAGAATTAAGTTATCATAGACATTAAAGTTCTAAAATAGACTTGGATCAAGAAAACTCACCACTGATTTACCTTTTTCAAAAATGATCTTTTTAGGAGGCATGTTAATTTTGGGCCTCTGGGGTAGTAACAAAAATGAAATCTTTAAAGATTGTTTTCCAAATGTCCTCATGTTAAAAAAAAACAATTGGAATATTTTTATTCACTTTTAAGTGTTTTTATGCTAGTGTTGAGATTAAAAGAAATTATCTGTTGACAGAATTCTCAGCATTTGGTTCCAAGAACAGTAGGAGCAATGTGTAGAACTGATTGTAGTATTTTGAAGCAAAAAATAACTTTTTACATTCTTATATAAATACATTTTAAAATTAAAAAAATTTAATTTGATCATATAATAGGTTCTTTTTTTAAAGGAAACATTGGAGAAAGTGAAAGTTTATGAATAAAGTTTAGGGCAAGGTATTAGAGAACACAATTCATACATTTGTTTTGGTTTATTGATCACTTGTTATTAGTGTTAACTTGGCAAAGTTATATAGCAAGCAACACATACTAGAGCAACTACAAAAGAGAATATAAAGAATTTTGAAATATGAGAACATAAAAATGCTGGTGTCTACTGGTCTTTTGGATTTCAAGTATGGAAGTGGCAGCTAAACTTGTTTGGTGACTAGATTCCCAGATGGCCCTCAACGAACCACATGTCCCTAAATTCATGTCCTGGTGTGGTCCCCTTCCACATTGAATCTGGGCTGAGCTGTGTCTTGCTTTACCCAGGAGCATGTGGCAGAAGTGAAGCTGTGCCAGCTCCAGGCTCTAGCCTTGAGAAGCCCCAACAGCTTCTACTTCTACGCTTTTGGGAGCCCGGGCCAACATGTAGGAAATTGGGATACCCTGCTGGAGAGATCATGTACAGGCCAGATGGGGAGAGACTCTGAGGTGCTACATAGAGTGAGAGAGAAACAGGCCTGCTGTCCCAGCTGAGCCAGTCTTCCAGCGATCCCCTGCCAAGGTGCAAAGACCTGAGCGAGCCGCTTTGGATGTTCCAGCCCAGTTGTGCCCCAGGATGATTGCACTCCCAGACAACATCACATGCAGCAGAAGAATCTCTCCCACTGAGCCTAGACGACCCACAGAATCACGAGAGAGGATACAGTGGTTACTTCAGTCCACTAAGTTGTGGGGTGGTTTGTTATACAGAAGTCAGTAACTAAAACAGCTTATGTTTCTTTATTTTGTGATAATTAAATAATCAGACTTTCTTGAATTTATTCCAGCTGACTTTCTGAATTATTTTGGGAAAAAAAAATCCTCTGAAGTAGTTTTAAGTTAAAAAGAACTCTAAACAAAACTTACTTTTAGTTTGCTTTTTCATTTGAATTTACTCATATCAGCATTGTGACTTGTAAACTAACCTTTTATTTCTTCTATTGCAAAATAAAGTGTTTATTTGGTTTATCATTTTCAGAAGTTGTCATCTATTCATTTTTTCCTTTCTCTTTGTACAAGATGAATGAATTATTCCAACACTTAAATGTCTCAGTGACTTAGTTTAATCTAGGATACTGATCATTTTTTATGAAGACTGAAAATGTTATCCAGAGGTGAAATGTTACTAAAAAAATGAGTTGCTACTGGAATAAAGACCTGTGATTTCCTAGCAATGTTTTTTCTCTTTTGGCGAAGTGCTTAAGTAAGCTTTTGCTGTATTTGGGTGCTTGGAATAGAATTTGAAGTCAAATATTATAGGTAAACTAAAAAAAAAAAAAAAACCCTAAATTATTGAATCTTTGATTCTAAAATATTTGTTTGTAAATTTGTTTAAAGACTGAGACCTTAATTAATTGCTAAAGGTGTTTGTCACTTTAAAATGAAATCTATGAAATTAGTATTTAGCCCTTATCTAAATTGGCTTTCTTTTGTTTTAATACTTAAATATTACAAGCTTTGTATTAGAAATAAACATTTCTCATTTTATAGTACAAAAGCAAAAATCTATAATATAAGTGAAGGACTATTACCAATTGGGGGAATTTTGATTGTCATAATTGATATCATTGTTTCTGAATGCTATGTTCACATACTCAAATGATTTCTATTTATAACAATCTAGTATGAAACTGAAATCATTAAAAAGATAGAAACCTTTTAGAAACATTTCACTTAGTTTCATCTCCACACTAATAAATCTTTCTAGAAAGCTTTTTATTTTAAAGATGTTGTTTAAATGATGTCTATAAATAACTCCTTTGATGAGTATTTGAAATGCTTCCTTCCTGAAGAATGTCTAAAAGAGGTTAGAGTGCACCATTTTATTGTATGTTGAGCCTGTGTTTTATTACAGATAGTAGCCTCATAATTTACATAAAAATTGAATGCATCAATCAACATTTATTTAATGGTAATTTAACAGTATAATCACAGTTTTTCCCCCTGTAGTCCCAGTTACATTGCAGTAAAACCTAAATTCCTTCCCCAGTATATGCTGCATTGAAAAGGAAATACCGTACCTCAGAGAGGCTGGGACAGGAATTGGGTAGACATGGACTGTCTCTTTATCCTGGAAGGTGCCTGTCTGTATGAAATCATTACCTGGATCCTTGTTGAGAGCACCGTCTCTATCTGATTTCTGGTGAGGAGCTTTTCATAGTTTGCCCTGATCTCATTGAGTAGCTGGGACAGTTCCATTCTTTTCCCATCCTCCACCTTGGCTAACTGAACCTTATCGATAGGATGAGTCGCTGCCGCAGAGCCTGTCTGCTCTGCCTGCGTGGAGAGCCCAGAGCCCAGAGCAGCGTGGAACCTTAAAGATGCAGAGCTCCTTTTTCAGAAGCCACGGAAATTCCTGTGTTTCTAATCAATTATGCAAATATATGGTAAACCATTCACTCCTATTGATGTTGGTATGGTAGAAATGTCAGACTCTCCACGAAGAAGGAAAATAAAAAACATCCTCAGTATTCCTGCATTGTTTCCTTATAACATCGAGCTCTTTAGAGGGAAAAAAATTCATTTATTTTGTGGAAAGAAAATGAGGCATAACATATGGAAAATTATATTTAGTTCTTTCAAGATATTGCATGAAAATAAATTTGGGCCTAAACCATGATGGCTAAAATTTTCTTTTGCAGTTTTTCTCACCATTTGGATTCTTTAAACAGAAATGCTGTGGTAGGTCATTAGAATGTTGACAGATATTGGAAAAAACTATGATCAGATTAAGTTGACAATTGTCATCAGCTACAGGACTGATTGCCCTCAAATGCATACTGTGGAGCTCATGGCAGACTGCTGTCCTGATAGCAGAGTTTGGTGTATTGAGGTGAATTCCTGAAGGCATATGACAGATGAAGTTATAGCTAGAGAAAGCACTAACCGAGTATGAGAGCTGCGAGCTGACAATTCCAATGTTTTAGCAAGGTTGAAGAAATAGAACCATTTGGTCTCTGTGGAGGGTATATTCATTGAGATAAGATTTATTGTGGGATAGTAAACATATAGTTAATGACAACTTATACCTGGAAGTACATTTGTGCAGTAATTTCAAAACGCACCTTTGCATCTGTCATTCCATCTGATCTTCACAATCTCTGATATTTTGTGACTTTCAAAGGTGAGAAGACTGAGGCCAGGGGGTGAAGTCGTCTTGCTCAAGGTTATACAGTGACATCATGGCATCCTTGGGGCTGGAACTTTGATTACTTGGCTGTATTCCATATCTTGCCCATCTGCCTCTGCATCCTCTCTCTCTCCACCTAAATTCCTTGTTCAATTTGGCCAGCTTGTTGCTAGATGTGACTGAAATATTTCTGAGAATGAATCTATCATTATTGTTATTTGTAGAGTGGCTTGACTGAATTGTGTGTAGGGCAGAGTTCAGGGGAAAATCAGACCTTGGCTCCAGCCCTTGCAGGGCCTTTGTGTGTGTATTTTGCAATTTGGCCAGCTTGTTGCTAGATGTGACTGAAATATTTCTGAGAATGAATCTATCATTATTGTTATTTGTAGAGTTGCTTGACTGAATTGTGTGTAGGGCACAGTTCAGGGGAAAATCAGACCTTGGCTCCAGCCCTTGCAGGGCCTTTGTGTGTGTATTTTGCTCTTTTAATTTCTTAATTAATTCACTTCTGGCCAGGCCAGTCTGTGCCAGGCTTTCCCGCAGCCCTCTCCAAATGAAGCTGGCCCACCCGCAGCCCCTGCTGAGAGGAGAGGTTCCAGGTCATTCCTTGTTCTGTCTGACCTGATCTACCCCACCCCAACCCACCCCACCCCACCCCACTCCTCTCCACCAGTCACACCTTGACAACCCTAGATTGGCCAGAGACCTATGAAGTAGCCTGATATAAAAAGCTCTGACTAAAGAGGGTCATTGATGAGTATATAGGCCAAGCTGCTTTCTCGGTAGTTGAGACTGAGCAATATAAAGAGAACTAGGTACTTGATAGTAGGAAGAGAAAGAAGAAAGCAATGAATTAAACTTTTAAATTTAATCCAGGGAGCAATGAATTAAATGCTCCTTGTTCCTTTAGGTAGCTCCTGCTAATCTCTGCCTAAAACACAGAAAACTGAGTTATATCCCATGGAGGGCTGGTCAGAGCAATCTGCATTTTAAACAGGTCTCTCAGGTATTTTTTATGCACCCTAAAGTGGTGCTCTCCAATAGAAATATAACATGAACCAAAATGCAAACCACATACATAATTTTATTTTATTTTGGTGGCTGGCCTGTATGGGGATCCGAACCCTTGACCTTGCTATTATAACACAATGCTCTAACCAACTGATCTAACCAGCTAGCCCATAGATATGTAGTTTTCAACTTTCTACTAGCCATATCAAAAGATATAAACAGAAACAGGTGAAGTTAATTTTAATAATATATTTTATTTACCTGATACACCTGAAATATAGTAATCAATGTAAAATACTAATGAGATACTTTAGTCTTTATTTTTGATACTGTCTTTGAGACTTGAAGTATATTTTATACTTATAGCCCATCTTAATTTGGACAAACTAGATTTAGAGTGCACGATAGCCATGTGGCTAGTGGCTACTGGAATGGACAATGCAGCTTTAGAATTTGGGACCTACTGGCTCACTCAGATGACAACACTGGAACACTCCACATGCATACTAGATTAAAGAAAATAGTGCCAGATTTCTTTTGGGGGGAGGGTAGTATTTAGAAAGGTATTCTACATGTGAGTAATGAATTTAATTTAACTATCTTAAGATCTCAAATTCTGTTCTTCAAGGAAAAAATATTGCTACTGTACTTTTAAAAAACATTGCCCTTTATTAAAAAATCAATAATAATAGCTCATTAAAAGCTGTGGCACATATAAAATTGCAGCGGCCATGCAATTCTGGGTGCATTAGCTGTAGGTATACCTTGTTCTCTTATGCTTCAGAAATCGTAACAGAATGCAGACAACAAAGGTGTCATTCTTATAGGGATTATCATAAATCCACCCTGGTTATTAAAAAAGTAAATAATTTGAAAATGTTATACTTTATTAATAGGAACAAATTAGTTCTAACACATCTCACAACTGCCAAAATGCTGTGGTTGAGAATTCTGGCTCTAGAGACACCCACGAGGTGTCTGTGTGGCTGCACATTGAAATCACTTGGGAAACTTTAAAAAATAGTGAAGAGTGCATCTCCCTCCCAGAGATTCTGATTTAATTAGCTCAGAATGTGGCCTGAGCATAAGAATTTTTTAAAGGCTCTCCACATCAGTCTACTATGCAGCCAAGTTGGAATCATTGTCATGAATGTAAGTTTCCTTCTACTTCTTCCTCATTCTTCATCCAGAGGAAATGAGTTGTTAGTACAAGCATCTGAAGTAAGATTCCTGTAGCCAAACACTAGCAAGTAGTTTATGTTGTAGTCGCCACAATTCTGAGTCCAGAGACTCAGGCAGAGAAGATATATACATTACTTTATTTTTCTATAACACAGTAATCTTTATTTTGAGCTCCCATTCTATAGAAGATGTATATTAAAACACTTTTCTCCAAAGCATTGCATCTAAGTTTTGAAGGAACTTATATAATTGTGACTAGGGGACCCATATTGTCCTTGATGTCATCTGTTTAAATCTGTGTCCACTAATACAGTCATTATTCTTTCCACCTATCCCATTCACATTGTTGGGGAAATATAATTAAAAACAAAAATCTTCTCCTAATCCAGAAATCCTCTCCACAAAGGTAGTAGAGAAAGAAAACACTTTTATTCTGGAATAAGCATTAAAGCAGAATGTGACGTGCATCACAGCCAATCTGCTAAGTAATTGTGAAGGCAGAAGGAAATCCCATCCTTTTACATAGCCAAGTAGATAAAACATCACATGCATGTTTTCAAGATAAACAATAACTAGTCCTCAAATAAGAGGGCTTGACAACACCAGTTGTGACACATAGTTCATCCTAAATCTACCTGGTAATTGGGTTTGATCATCTGTGTCAGCTAATATGAGAGGTTTGTTTTTCCTTATCCAGAGGAGAGACAAACTTCTCATATCTTTACGACAGGAAGTAATTTTGCAATCTGGAGCAAGGCACACACCAATGTTAGGCTCCTACTCTTTCAGAGAAACTGGAAGGTAGGATTGTTATCTGGTCTTTGAAAGGATTTATGTATATTTCAAAGAGAGGAGAAAGTATTTACAAGTATTTCAAAGTAAATGCTACCTGACTTAAAACTATATTATAAAGCTATAGTAATCAAAACAATGTGGAACTGGAATAAAAACAGAACCATGGACCAATGGAACAGAATAGAGATCCCAGAAATAAATCCGAACATGTACAGTCAACTAATTTTTTGACAAGTGTTCCGAGAGGACAGAATGGGGAAAGAATAGTTTCTTTAATAAATGGTGCTGAGAAAATTGAATATCCACATGCAAAAGAATGAATTGAACTCATATTGCACACCATATGCAAAATGGATAAAAGACCTAAATGTAAGACCTGACGCCATAAAACTCCTAGAAGAGAACATAGAGAAAAATTTCCTTGACATTGGCCTTGGCAATGATTTTTTTTTTTTTTTTTTTGATATCATACCAAAAGCCCAGGCTACAAAAGCAAAAGTAAATAAATGGGACTACATCAAACCAAAAAGCTCTGCACAGCAAAGGAAACCATCATCAACATGAAAAGGCAACCTACAGACTGGGAACAATATTTGCAAACCACATATATGATAATAGATTAATATCCAAAATTTATAAAGGATTCTTACAACTCAATAGAAAAAAACCCCAAATAATCTGGTTAAGAAATGGGCAAGGGATCTGAATAGACATTTCTCCAAAGAAGACATAAAAATGGCCAACAGGTATATGAAAAGGTGCTCAACGCCACTTTATCAGGCAAATGCAAATTATGACTACTCTGAGATACCGTCTCGCACTTGTTAGGAGGGCTATTATTAAAAAGACGAGATAACAAATGTTGGTGAGGGTGTGTAGAAAAGGGAATCCTAGTACACCGTTGGTGAGAATGTATATTGGTACAGCCATTGTGGAAAACAGTATGGAAGTTCCTAAAGAAATTAAAAATAGAACTACTGGATGTCCCAGCAATCCTTCTTCTGGGTATATACCCAAAGAACTTAAAATTACCACCTTGTAAAGATATTTGCACATTCATCGCAGCATTATTCACAATAGCCATGATATGGGAACAACCTAAGTGTCCATCCATGGATGAATGGATAAAGAAATGTAACACACACACATACACACACAC